CAACATTCTTTCTCTCTAGCTGTACATTCCGCTGCACTACTTTCCATCTCCCAACGGAAATACCCCTAACAGACTTTATTGTGGAACTCCCCAAAAACCAACAGGAAAAGGACTTGCCACATTATTTTTGCACCAGGCAAAAATAGGCTGCATGGAGCTCCCCGATGTATCATTTCACATGCAAGTCCAATTCACATCCAAGTTCTGGAGAGCCTTCCTGGACCTATCAAGCACAGACCAGGGACTTTCTAGTTTTTCTCAGCATCCACAGACGAATGGCAGCTGTGAATGAACAAAGTCTGTGCTAGAACAATACCCAAGATACTTTATAAACTACCAACAGGACAACTAGGACTGACCTTTTACCGTTTGCAGAAATGGCCTACAATAATTCAGTAGATAGCAGTACTGGCTTCCCCACCACTACTGGTGAACTCAAAGTGACCTCACCAAGAAAGGTTAAATTAACAAAGAGGAACAGTGGCATATGAGAAACAGTGGACTCATTCTCCCATGCTTCTATGGGCACCCAAAAAACACAAGCTGACACTTTTCAGAGTTGCAACACGGTAGGACTTAAATCCTATGCCTGAATTGCCCACAAAGGACCCCAAAACTCCCTCGTTGAAGGAATGGATCGGCCAACTACAAAACACCTGGCCGGTAATGCACAAGGTGCTTCAAGAAGCCAAAGATGCCAACAAAAGCCAAGCTGAAAAAAAATGTATTGAACCTAAAAAGTTTAATGTAGGAGGTTGACCATTGGCTTACCTAGAGGGTCGTTCTCTGTGCGCTGCGGGAGAGTCCAAGCATGGGTTAAATTAGTCTGGTTGTCCTAGGACTGAATTATAATACTTTAGCCACGCCTCCTGTTCCTCCTTAAGGTCAGTTTTTTAATGATTACTGGGACCAAAAAGATGCTATTTGGTATGACATGGCGTGGAGAACGTCTGGTATGCCCAAACCCTGGGCCCGCACAATACCTGGGCGGGGTTGGTCTCTCCCACAGCACATAGAGACTGACCCTTCAGGTAAGCCAATGGTCATTCTCCTGTGCGCTGCTTGAAGAGTCCAAGCATGGGACATACCCAAGTTAACTGTTTCCAGAGCAGGTAGAAGAGGTAGCCAAGGTTCGGCCACAGAATGAACTTGCTGTAGCACCCTTCTGCCAAACAAAGCCTCGGCTGATGCAAAGATGTCCAATTTATAATTCCAAACGAATGGAGAAGGGGATGACCACGTCGCTGCTCTGCATATGTCCTCTATTGTTGCTTGGGTAGCCCAAGCTGCTGTCGTGACAGCACTGCTTGTGAAGTGGGCAGTGATGTTGCATGGAACTGTCCTGGACTGATGTTCATATGCCAGGGTGATGCATGCTCTCAGCCACCAGCCTATGGTGGACGATGTCACCTTCTGCCCCATTGACCCTGGCTGAAAGGACACGAATAATGCCTCAGATTTACAGAACTCTGCTGTTCTCTTTACATATCTGTGAAGAGCCCGTCGCACGTCTACCATATGCCAAGTATGTTCCCAAGGATGTCTGGGTTGTGGGCAAAAGTCTGGTAGGAAAACCTCCTGCAATCTATGAAACCAAGTATTAATTTTGGGAATAAACGAAGAGTCCAAGCGGAGTATAACCCTGTCAGGGTTATAAATCATACATAAATCATTCCAAACTGACAGGGCCGGCAACTCCGATATCCTCCTTGCCAATTTGATGGCGATGAGGAAGACGGTTTTGATAGTCAGATGTCTGTGGCTAATGGAGCCGAGCGGTTTGAAAGGGGCCGATGTTAGGACTTGCAGAACCACTGAGAGCTGCCACGTCGGATAATGATGAACCACCAGGGTTCGTAGATCCAAGGCGCCCTTGAGTAAAGTATGTAACCTTGGCAGTTTACTGAGAGTCTGGGAAGAATGGCCTGACCAAACTGGAGGGTGTTTGGGATGAGCCCTCTATCTAAGCCCTCCTGCAGGAAGTCCAAGATGTGCAGAACTGGCACAGAGACCAGTTCTGTGCACGGGCAGAACACCAGGTGACAAAGGTGGCTCAAGTTGAATTGTAGATTTTGGTGGTTAAGGGTCTCCTGGACGCCTGGATGGTCTGGATCACCTTGTGTGAAAAACTCTCTCTCCTCAGGAGGTTCCCCTCAAGTGCCATATGGCCAGCTGAAGCCACCGGGGGTCCTGATGGACAATGGCCCCCTGACTGAGGGAGACTTGATCCTGAGGAATGTGCCAGGGACTCGCCATGGAGAGACTGACAAGGTTGGCGTACCACGACCTCCTGGGCCAATGAGGCCACTAGAAGAACTTCTGCCCCCTCCACAATGATCTTGTGGATTACTTGCAGTAGAAGAGACAGAGGCGGAAAGGCATACAGAAGCCCGGGGTGGCACCTGCAGTGGAGGGTGTCTGTCCCTTCCACCTGGGGGAAGTGAAATTAGGAGAAGCAGGTAAGTTGCATGTTCTCCTGGCTGGCGAAAAGGTCGACTGTCGGAACTCCGAACCTCAGTGATAGTTGGTGAAAAAGGCTCGGATGCAGGCGCCACTCCGAATTGTCTATGGTGGTCCTGCTCAGCCAGTCCGCTTGAGTGTTGTCCACCTCGGAGAAGTGGTCTGCCCAAATCGACTGAAGGTGAAGTTCTGCCCACCTGCCCAGGGCCTTTGCCTCCATCATGAGGGATCGGGAGCACGTTCCCCCCTTGTTGGTTGATGTGGGCCTTGGTGGCCACAATGTCCATCATCAGTAGAACATGTTTGTGCTGAATCTTCTGTCTGAAATGACAAAGGGTGAGTCTTGCTGCTCTTAGCTCCAGCCAGTTGATGTTGCAAGCTGACTCCTCTCGAGACCACCTGCCTTGCATCACCTGCTGGCTGAGGTGAGTGTCCCAGCCAAATGGACTGGTGTAGTCGTTCTGGTTCCTTGAACAGGTGGCCCTTCTTCATGGCAGGAAATAGCCACCACTGGAGGGAGCGCCTCATCCTCAGGGAAACCCTGATCGATCTCGAGGAACTGCTTTTGTTGGCCCTCTGTAGTGGCAACAGGAGACACTGGAGTTCCCTTGCATGGAGCCTGTCCCAGGGAACCACTGATATGCAGGAAATCATCTTGCCTAATAACTGGGACAGACGAAGTACTGGAACTTGCCTTGTCCCCTGTACCTTGAGAACTAGGGCCCTTAGGCTGTCTGACCTGCCCTGTGACAGGAAGATCCTGCAAGTTAGGATGTCTATTTCCATGCCTAGGTGAAGGAGCCTGGTGGTTGAAACCAAGTGGCTTTTCTCCAGGTTCATTGAAAACCCATGGGCTTGGAGACTGTTCATGGTGGTACGGAGATCGCAGACCGCCTGTTCCCTGGATGATGACTGAATGAGGATGTCGTCCAGGTAATATACTAGTCTCACCGGTAAGGTGGGCTAAAAGGCCCAATTATGAGCCATGGACTATAGATCATGTTTAATATCAAATACTCTGATTAAAGCTGAGGTTTTGCACCATTAAGCAGAAAACAATTGCTGACAGTTGCTGAAGGAGCAGTAAATATTTTTACACATCTGGGAACAAGTCGACCCGGACGGGGAGTTTCCTGTTATCTTGCAAGATGTGCCTTGTTTATATCCAGCAGATCAACAGAAATTCCAAGAAGACAGCAAAAGTGTTAGCAAGNCACAAAGTAACCAAAGGTGGGTCAGAAGATTGTTCGCCTTGTATTACAAAGGCTAAGATGGGAATTCGGACTATTAATACCTTGGTGTATCATACACAGTTACCTCAGGGATGTAAACCTACCAAAATGAATTGCCTGCATAACAAAACCATGTATAGTTTATGCACTTTACAGGGAAAAACTGTATGCTATAATCCCAACACTCCAGTTCGCCTCAACGTTACTTTGTGGACAGGCTTGCCTAAGGTCGGTGCTCGGCATAATCCCGAAGGAGAAGGCAAGCTGTACTTCATTAATTATACTGTGCAGCTGCAACAGGGGAGACAACCCTTGATCTTGATGTTCGACGCATGTGCTGCTACTAGGAGGGGCTATGGAGTGTCTTGTGGAAGTCAAGCTTGGATTGATACTTATAAAGCTGATCACAAGTACTTATGTGAAACTTCGACTAATTGGGACCACGGTAATCCTAACCAATGGTTACCTTGTGCAGGTTCCGTAAAGTTTACTGGATGGCAATGTGTTTGTGATTATACAGGAGGGGGTTTTAAGGGATGTTCCTATATAACCTCCTTCCGTAAAGGAATAGGGAATATGATACAGATGGAAATATCTCGTAACATCCCATCCATAATGACATACGGCTTTGGGATTGACGGGAAAGGATTAGACCCAAGGACATACTTAACTATTAAGGTTGAGAAGGTTAAAGATGGAGAGGTAAAATCCCTCGGATGGTCTGTGTATGATACCCTACGAAAATTAGAAGACCCATTACCAGTAAGTACTAAGGCAAACAATCTATTCATAGAGATGGCTGAACAAGTAGCTAAGACCTTAACTGTTAAAAATTGCTTTGTTTGTGGAGGAACTAACATGGGAGAACAGTGGCCCGGGGAAGCCATGGAAGCGGATCCAGTAATATACAATAATCTCTCTTCTGCTGGCAATATTACAACAAGAAAAGATTTTACTGGAATTGTATGGACATTATCCACTAACCTGGTAGGAAGGAACTGTTTTGTTAGGAATGGATCTGTTCATGTCGGAGATTTGATTTGTCTGGGATCATGGAATCTAGATTATAGTATTTGGTCTTCACCAGCCAATAATCCTCAACCCCAACGCTTTGATATGACCTATTTGAGCTACCTGGACTCTTCTTCTATAGATAAGGTATGGAAAGCACCCGAAGCTATGTACTGGATTTGTGGGAAATTGGCTTATGAAGCATTGCCTAGAAATTGGTCAGGATCTTGTATTTTAGGATGGATTAAACCTTCCTTCTTTCTATTACCCATTAGAGCCCGCCAGGTGTTGGGGGTCCCATTGTACGAGAAGGTTGGTCTCCAGACTAGAAGGAAACGGGAACTTGATACGGTCTTTACCAATTTCCTTTGTAAGGATTGGGCCGCCTTTGAAGACAGTGATGTTTGGAGTTCGGAAAGAATTGTGTGTACATATGGCAGGGCTACGTGGGCAGAAGATGGGTCATATGGATATCGCACGCCCATTTATATGTTAAATAGAATCATTCGTCTCCAAGCAGTACTAGATTTAGCAGGCCAACGTATTGATAAGGCCCTTAATATAATATCTGCTGCTACAGATAAAATAAGAACAGCAGTGTATCAGAATCGCTTAGCTTTAGACTATTTGCTGGCTAAAGAAGGAGGCGTATGTGGTAAGTTTAATCTCTCTAATTGTTGCTTGCAGATAGATGAAACTGGAACTGTTGTTAAACAATTAACTACAGAAATGCGTCAATTAACTGATAATCCTGACCAGGTGTGGCGAGGGTTCAATTTCAAGGATATTATAT